TAAAAAATAAAGAATAAATAAAACAGCACGCCCCAAGCTAGCCTTTTATGGAGTGGGGGAAGGAGGCGTCCCAGCAAGCATGGGAAGCAGCCCAGAGACAGCCCACCACCGCTCTGCACTTGGGCCCCTGTCCAGGCAGCCAAGGGATGGCACAGGGCTCTCCCTTCAGTGGAGCATGTGGACGGGCTCACCAAGGGCCCCGGAATTCGTGAGCGCATCCCAACCAAAGGCACTGTGCACACTCGGGCTTATTCCAGGCCAGGAGAAGCACTCACTGTCTGCGCTGTTCACCAGCAGCTCTCCTGGGCTCCCACCGTCCTAGCCAGGGACAGCCACCTGCCCCAGCACAGCCGGGGACCCCGAAGCCCAGGCCAGGGCCCATCGGTTCCCCAGGGGAGCGTCTCTGTGCTCTGGGAGTGGCCCTACTTAAGTGCGTGTAGAACCGGGGAGCCAAATCAGAGCCAGCCAGCCACACCCCCATGCCTGCACCACTCACCCACGGTCATTTGGGCAGGACCCACCAAGCCTGCAACCTGGCCTGGTTCTCACTGCCTCTCCCCACAAATTCTCCCTGAGTTCCAACTTAGAACCTCCTTCACAGGACACAGGCGTTACCAGAGCCCCTCCAGCCTGACCAGCTCTGCTGCAATCACACCCACCCACAACGGCCAAGGCCCTGCCCTTTGCCTCCCATGCCTGCCACGCCCACCGCTCGGGGGCTCTCCCATCCTCCTGTCAAACCCTCCTAGCAGCACACGGCACGCACGACCCTGGAAAGACTACCGCAGCCACAGCAAAACGTGAGGAAACTACAACATGACCAGCATTTCACTGGGAAACCAGGCCACACGCCCCTTGGGGAGACAGCGGGTTTCCAGGACTGGGGCGCGGACGAGATGCAGAACGCCAGGACGTGTGCAGAGAATGGGGCCAGGGCTCCCAGGAGGTGAGGGTTCCACTCCACAGAATAAAGCAAGAGCCCACGAGTCTGTACTGATGTAAATTTTAGCTGGCAAAGATCGGTAAGTAGAGGAGGGAAGCTCGTCCCTCGGGCAGAGTGCAGACCAAGGAGTGCAGACGGAATGACGGATTCCGTCCTTAAGTCAGCGTGTGACAAACACCCCACGCTGGTTCAGGCAAGAGTCATCCGCGAACACCACACTGGTGGGTGACCCTCACACGGTGTGCAAGCATCTCCCTACGAGATACTCGCTGATGACAGGGCGGGAACCGGCCTCGTGTGCGGGGAGACTGGCAGACGGCAGCCCCAGCAGCGCAGCAGGTGGGTCCCGGGACAGCTGACAGCGTGTGGCGTGCGGGCAGGATGCAGCAGCCGCCTGCACCCGGGGCTCTGCCCGGACTGAGGAAAAGTCCGACAGAGCCACGCGGGGTGAAGTGCACGAAGGAACTGGTCAGTGTTCTCCCACGGTGTTGGGGGCACGAAACACGGGAGTGGGGCGTGGGCCAGCCCGGAGGGGGCAGAGGAGACGTGACAACCTCCCCCAACTCCTGACCCGGTCAGAGAGCGGGCTCCAGGGCACACGCACCGCAATCTGAACAAGCCCCGCGGACCGGACACCAGCACCGCTCGGCACATGACCCCCAGACCGTCCAACTCGGGCTGAGTGTCTGGCAGACGGGGGTGCGGGCCGCGGCCTGCAGGGGGCACAGCGACGCCAAACGTGGCACGCCACACTCCGTCACAACTCACACAGAGGTTCAAAAGAACAAAGTGAAGTGCACGATGTCCGAATGCAAGGGCCGGCCGGCGTGACCCTGGCAAGTGGAGGGCCACGGTGTGGTGCAGGGCGCATCTGCGGTAAGAAAGCAGCAGAAAAACCACCATGTAGAAGGGACTGCACCAGGCGGCTGGTGGCATCTTCCAGAAGCCGCAAAGATGGGGAAGGAGTGCCAGGCATGCAACAGTTTCATTTCCTCTGAGAAGAAATGCATGACATCACGTGTTCCTACGGCAGGCCCCCCAAAACGCCTGAAACCACAGACGGTCCCGAACCCTACAGATGCTGTCAACCCCGAACAACACGGTTTGAACTGCGCGGGCTCAAAGTGGGGCTTTTTTTCCATAAATATAGGAGAGCACTAGAAATGTCTCTTCCTTATGATCTCAATAGCATTCCCTTTTCTCCAGCTTACTTTATCGCAAGAATACAGCATATAACCTGTAAGACACAAAATGGGTGTTGATGAACTGTTTACGTCATCGGTAAGGCGGGTAGGTTTTGGGGGGTTCCTAGGTTCTACATGGATTTTTGACACCCCTAAACCCTGTGCTATTCAAGGGATAACTGTACCGTTTTCTTCTGTGCATCCATACCTGTGATGAAGTTTAATTTGTAAGTTGGTACA